TTGTTTTATGGACGTAAGCGGCTGCCGCCCCAGTTGAATATTTGAAAGCCCTTTTTTATTGCATATCTACAATAATGAACGAACCTGCATACAAAATTTCAGTCTCCGAATATATAGCGTGCAGAAACAGTGATGAAAAGGTAACATTTTTTTATAAACGTGCCTTTTCCCCCGCGGCTGGCTCCCCTTTTGTAATTTCTAGAAATCTTTTCTCATTGCATATCTATAACATAAAACGGACTTACATACAAAATTCCAGCCACCGAAAATATAGCGATACGAAGAAACAGTAATGAAAAAATAATTTTCATATGTAAACAACGTATGAAAAATATTTTCTTATAACATATAAACAACATAAAACGAACCTACGTAAAAAATTCCAGTTTCCGAAAATATAGCAACACATGAAATATATGTAATCGTTCCCTTTTCACCCCCACAGGTAACACTCCAGTTGGGATATTTGAAAATCGTTTCTTTTTGCACATCTACAACATAAAACGAACTCACACACAAAATTGCAGCCACCGAAAATATAGCGATACGAAAAAACAGTGATGAAAGAATAATTTTCATGTGTAACCGACGCCCTTTTATTCCACGGAGTGGCTCCCCAGTTGAAATATCCAAAAATCCTTTCTTATTGAATATTTACAACATAAAACGAACCTTCATAAAAAATTCCACTTTCCGAAAATATAGCAATACGAAAAACATATGTAAACGCTCCCTTTTCACTCCCACGGGTAGCGCCTCAGTTGGAATATTTGAAAATCGTTTTTTTTTGCACATCTACGACTTAAAACGAACTCACACACAAAATTGCAGCTACCGAAAATATAGCGATACGAAGAAACAGTGATGAAAATATAATTTTCATATGTGAACGCTCCCCTTTTACACTCACGGGAGCCCCCCGCTGGAATATTTGCACACCTATAACATGAAACGAACCCACGAACAAAATTTCAGCCTCAGGAAATAAAATGCTCTTTTACCACCACGGGGGCCCCAGTTGGAATATTTCAAAATCCTTTCTCAGTGCGCATCTAAGACTTCAAAAGGGTTTACCAGTACGGAGAAACAGAGATGATTGAGTGTTAAGTGATATTTCAAATCGTGAAATTTTCGGGCGTTACCAACATACGAGGTTTGTTCAAGAAATAATCAAATGATATGCGTAGCCCGCGAAATGTGAACATTCACCTTATTTTTGCAACAGACCTCGTATAATTCATATGCAGTCAGATTTTTTTGATGGAACGTTTAATATTTCATTCAAATGTCCATCATACACTTACGTACGTACCTGTAACTTTTTATGATTATGATAACTTATATTGAAACCTTTGAACTATTGAAGTATAAATACTAAAATCTTGGAAATGAAATGACACCGAAAATAATAGTAAAGAACCTCAAAAAGGCACTATATTCCAGCTTCAAGCAAGTTTTTCCAAATGCTCAACTTGTTGGATGTAGGTTTCATTAGGTTTCATTTCATTTCATTACATGGTAAGTTATAATTAATAATGATTTATTTGCCATCAACAATGTATAAAAATTACAATTACAATTACTCAATCTGACTCAGCAAATAGATCGGTTTGTTGCTCATAAAAGATATGACTTTGTGCATGTGTAATCAAATCAATGAACGTGAAATTTGAAATATAATGTGAAAGGTAAACATCAAAAATTATAAAGATATAAAATTCAAAATATATAAATGTAGAATGTTAATATCTTGAGACGTTCAAACATAAAATTTTAAATAATAGTATTAACAATTATTCGACCTATAAATCTTATTTAGGTGGTGAGAAATCCAGAAGTCAGGACTTGAAAAACAGAACTTTGTCAATAGCTTCGATAATCGTTTATGTTGATGATTTCATCTTCTTTCGAGGTAACACATTGTTTCGTCAAAATTTTGATGCCTGATATACCTGAGGATGATCGTGTGAATCAATATGCAAGCTATCTTGTGAATACCTACAACGATTAAGATATTTAAGATATTCTTTTTCGCCAAATATTACGTGTGCCAGAAAGTTCAAAGGCTAACACACAGATGGCGTTATTAGTAATAAATCTATATTATTTTTGGTTAACCCTATCCTTCGAAAGACACGTGTACGAATGTCACAGCTCTTGGACTATTATTTTGTGGGATAAAACATTTTGAGTGAAGCAACTTCTGTTAGTTTGAAGAAAATATTCAATAAGGGTTTTCGTGTGTTAATAAAACATTGCTTTCTGGCGAAAGAAAAAACTTTTGAAAACTAGAAATTCAATACGTGTTTTTGAACCCTTCCCTAACGAGGCAAACATATTCGTTAATGAAAATTAATTTTGTAAAGTCTACCCGATGTTTTCTTGATGGGATTTTGGAACTTGGCTTCAGCCTCGATTCGGGAACACCAAAAATACACATGGAGAAGAAAAAAGGTAGGTGAGTGAAAAAATATTTGGTTTTGAATAAAAAAATACAATTGATGGCCTTTGGAATGAGTTTCATCGCAGGTTCTTCAAAATTCAAGGGTCACATTTTTATTTGTTAGAAAATTCGTTATTATAGGGGTCAAATATGCTCACTTGGAACACGAAAGCTGTCTTTCTTGATCATTCCTGTATAGTACCCTAGCAGGACATTGCTGGTTTCATACTTTTCACTGGATAGTCTAGTCACATGTTTTGAAAATTTTGTTATCCAATGAGAAACTAAAAACTGATTCCTTGAATCTTCTAGGACTACGGTCCAGGCGAGATGCAACAACCTGTTATAAACGTTTATAATGAGGAAAATTATCATCGGTCGCCCAGTGAGGATTCTGGTTTGGGAATGGGAATATCAGATAAAAATTCCACTAATCCAAGGTAATGATAATAAAATATTTTTGAATAAAGAAAATACCAAAGTACATATGTGATAAAAGTAACGGACATAAACAGTTTTGGGTCTTTTTCTTTGCATATACAAGTAAACATGTTATCTAACTTCTGCCACGAGTACATATTTTTTTATCCATGAAAGTGAAATATTTGGTTCGAATGTATATATTCTGATTCGAGTAGTTATTATAAAAAAATGAACAAATTATTTCTATTTCATTCATGCACTGACTGGAAATAAATGTTGTCATACGAGTATTGAACTATCATTACTATGGAACTCTTTTTAAATTTATTATCCTAGTCTCTTTCAAATTTACAAATTCAATAATAATCAATATTCAATTCCATACTTTTGATATTATAAATCATTTGTAACAAGCAGAAAATTTGTCCATGTTTTTTCTAGCTACTCTCAATATTTCATTTATATCAC